AGCCCCTGCCGCGTCGAGGAGCAGCTGGTCGGGGGGCTCCTGCCCCAGGCGCGGACAGCTCCCCGCGCACCGCTCTCGCCTCTAAGACGAGCCCTCTCCTCCAGTCCAAGACGAGCTCCCCTTTCTCCACTCTAGGACCCTATCACATAAACAAGCGCCGAACTAGCCCTGCTCCAGTCTACCACGAGCCCGGCCTCGGCTAGGCTAAACGAGCCCCCCCCCGTCCAGTCTCAGGGGAGAGTCACCAGGAGCCCTGTCCCCGCACGGGTCTAAGATGAGCTTGTCTGAACGAGACCCCCCATCCAGTCTAAGATGACCCCCCCCCCCTTGTCCAGCCGAAACGAGCTCCTCCCTGGCGAGTCGAAACAAGCTTTTCCTGTGTTTGCGCAGGGGAGCAGCGACTGGGGAGGTGGGTGCTGGTCCTACCTGCCCCCCGAGGAGGTGCCACCATAAGGAACTGCGGTTTAGGTGCTGATAATCGGCCTGAGCTGAGGGGAGCAAATGCCTCCCACCCACAATGTGCAGCCAGCCACTTACTCTGCTCCCCTAGCTGTTTGGGGGGTTGAAGGACACCTCTCCCCTCCTTCCATGCATGGAGAAGTCTTCCGCAACCCTGTCTGGCAGCTTCACGATCTGACATCCTGGAAATGATGCATATCACCAACTAATTCAGGTCGTGGTTTCTCTGTGGGATCACATGAGAGGAGGCGAGGGGTTGAACGTAGAGGATCCCAAGCCTGCTTCACCGTCCACACAACTGCACTGGAGTTAGTGAGGTTGGGGGGTGCCCGGTCCAGGCAGAATATAGCTTAAATGACTAAACAAAAACATCAAACTGAATGTGATTTAGCCAGGGGGTTACTTCGGTGGGAAAAGACTGCTTCCAGTCCTAGCAGTGCAGACTCCAGAGTCGAATCAAACTCCGCAGTTGTTGCACCACAGGAGGAGGCTGCAGAAGCTAGAGCGCTCTGGCTGACTCTAGAGCTCCTCCAGCGGCGTGCGAAGGGAAGAAAGCCGGTTAGTCAGACACGGCTCCACCGGAGACAGAGCATGCAGCACCGAAGCACTCGGGGAGCCTGCTACCTGCCTCTAACCACCAAAGCCACCGTGCCTCTCTTCACTCTGATACAACAGAAAACTTGGGGTGGGAAATAAAGAGAAGCAATACCTTAGAATTCCAATCATAGAAAATGAGGGTTGAAGGGAGCTCAGGAGGTCGCATCTAGTCCAACCCCTGCTCCATGCAGGACTGGCCCCAAATACATCATCCCAGACAAGGCTTTGTCTAGCCAGGTCTTAAAAACCTCCAAAGATGGAGACACCACCACCTCTCTGGGTGACCGTTCCAGTGTTTCACCACTCTCCTAGTGAGAAAGTGTATCCTCATATCCAACCTCGACTCCCCTTGCTGCAACCTGAGCCCATTGCTCCTTGTCCTGCCGTCTGCCCCCACTGAGACCAGTCCAGCTCCATCCTCTTTGCAGCCCCCCGGCAGGGAGGTGAAGGCTGCTAGTCAATCCCCCTCGGTCTTCTCTTCTCCAGACTAAATAAACCCAGTTCCCTCAGCCTCCCCTCACCAGTCCTGTCCCCCAGCCCCGCAACCATGTTCATTGCCCTCTGCAACAATGCATTCATCACTCATTAATACCTATATGAATAAGGAAAAAATGAGCGTTGTTCGCACACACTGTGGTTTTGAATATGAAATGTATTTTGTTGGCATAAATTTTCATTCTGCAGCGAATCTGCATGCAATCAATTCTCTGCTCCACGCTATGAGTGTCTCATGTTTTTTCTGAAGTGGCTCTAAAGCGAGTGATTCCTCCTCTCCCCCCAGTCCTGGTTCTGTTCCACTGGAGAACATGAGGACCTCGCTCACCTATTAGACAGAGAAAGTAAATCATTGCTTTATGCTGAAGAAAGTGAATTGGGATTTTGGGGGGGTAACATGGTACCACGATGCTGACTCCTTATGCTTACAAGAAACTTTCCAGAGTAAAGTGCATCTCAAAGCAGCAGATTATTTTAGACATTTTAGACAAGGAAGGTAGGAGAGAACTCTGAACGACTGAGATCGAAGTGACACGACGTGCAGAAGATCTGTGCTTGGTTATGGGCCTATTCACCACTGTAGTACACAAAGCAGTCAGGCTGAATCTGGCACCAAGACTAGTTGGAGGCCCATTCATCTCCCTGGTCGCAGGACAGCCCTGGTGTGCTTCCTCTCACAGCTGTGCCAACGAATGCCCATGCTGTTCCAACCTAGAGCTAGTGCTTGTCAGCTGTGCCAACTTGGGTCCAGGCTCTGATCAGAATTTACACTGCATTGTGTAACTGCACGGCGGGGTGAAGGCATCTCTTCTCAGGAGAAAAAGGCCTCCTGGTTTATACTTCGAATGGAAGTGCCTTGGGACAGGGCTTATGTTCGGTGCCCAGCACCACAGGCTTCTGGGACAGTGAACAAATCCATAAAGAAATAAAAATAACAACACAATTCCCCAAACATGGGAGTGCAAAAAGAGATATTTGACTCAATTAGCTTGAAATTCCATTAGTCCAGCTTTAAATTGCAATAGTGACTGTAGATGAAGCAGGGTTTCTTTTACATATCAGACTTTTATAAATAGTCAAGTATATATAAATATACTTACACTATACTTAAATATACTTAAAGTATCTATCAATATACTTATAAATAAATGTAAATAGTCAAGTATATAAACAGAGAACATGCTTGTGTTTCTCTACTTGAGGTTGTTTTAAAATTCTATTTATAAATATTGAAACCTCCATTATCATTGTTTGAAGTTGCTGGGTTGTACCCTATATTGTTTGGCCTCTCCGAGGACCTAATCTGAAATGTGTTAGTATTACAGACGGAGCTAGTGACAGCATCTGCCGTTAAGATTCCCTACAACTTCTCATGGGAAAACCTTGGCTTTAATGTTGCCAAACTTTAACTGTTCAGACTGACGTTGTCCTGGCCGGTGTCTGCCTCGTGCTACATTTTTAGAAAGTTTCATCAAAAATAGTTCTGCCACTTCTGAGAACAATGTTATGGGAAAAGACGTTGTTTTGCCAGCGTTACAAAATGTTCACGTTGGCGTTGTTAATAAACTGTAGAAACACTCTGGAGCAGGGGATGTGAAACTCGATGTGTGTCTGTGTTGTGGGGCGGGGGCACCTGTTGGGAAAGGGCTAAGGCGGTGCTTTTGCTGTGCAAATCCACCCAAATCCAGTTGATTTACAAGTCTCTGAAGATTACCATTGTGTATATTCAGTTTGTTAGAGTCCGGCCTAAATTTCTGAGCATTGCATGTTTGGAGCATGCTTCAGTTGGGGGCTGAAGGTGATCCTAGGACTTCCTCCTGCCTCTGCTGCTCCTGTCCATCCCAGCTTGTGGCGGTGCTGGATAACAGCGCTGACAGCATGGAGAGCTTCCCCTTTTCAAACTCCTCCATAGTGTCCCGTGGTCTTACCAATTTGGCAATTTACTTATGAGATCTAGCAGCTTTGGGGAGATCCTAGCAACAAACTGTTGTGTCAAGGCTCCTGTATCTGTTTGCTGGGCGTGATGACTGAGAACATTTTGACTAGAAGGTCTGCCTAGGAGTGTCAAGCAACTTTTTGAGGCATGCCCGGCAAATTCCTTCTTTCAGGACTCGGCAGCACTACTGTCTAAGCCTCGTGGAGACAAAGGAGGTTTGACTTGAATGCAGAGGTGTGACAACCAGGGCAGAAGACAAGATGGGGCTAGGTTGATGGGGCGAGATATGGAGGCAATAGAAAGAGAACAGGAGTGGGGCAGGGACAGTCTGGCGTTAGGGGAAAGAAGGGTGGCTCAGGGATCATAACCTAATAACAACCCTATCTTGACTAACTGCATTACATCCACGCTGTACTCTGAAGGAGGCTTGGCACCTGTGGGGGGAAAAGAAGTGCACGGCCATGTTATTAAAGACTTCCGCCTAGTGCATATGGATGAGAGGGTTAGACTGAGGTTGCACAGGCACCCCTGACATTGGCATTTCCCAACTTCCGAGTGCTTGGCTTTGCAATTCAAATATACACCATTTTTAATATTCATAATACAAAAGTGCTGCCAAATCCCAGGCCCTTTCATGCTGAGCAGTGTACCAAAGACACAGCCTCTGCCCTGAAGATCTAGCAGGGTTAAAGTTTTACTTGCACAGAATGTAGTTGGAAGTTTATGAATCAAACACAGCTGGGTTTTTTCCCCTTTTTTAAATATGTAGATGGTAGGACTTCTCCTACCACAATTCAAACACCCACATTTACGTATTTTTCTTGTTAGACCATCGAGGAGCTTGAACTACCAGGAGATCTGTGCCAGGTGCTCCACACAGATCGAGTGACTTGCAACACAATACAAGGAACAGTGGCAGCTTAATGTTTAGTGAAACCGATTTTGCAGCTGATAATTAACTTTAGGCCCTACACAAACTGTAAGGAGCAACAGTCCTTTCACATTTTATAGAAGTAATGTATAAAATGACCTCCCGTTGCTTAGGACACAGGCCTCGAAAGGAGAAGCTAACTTGATGTTTCACTGGTGACTTGGAAAAATTGTGTTTTATTTTTAATCCTCTAAATTGGCCTAAAGAAATAAACTTCAAAGGACTTTGGGGGAAAAAAAAGACTTGGGCACTTTAGCTACTAGAATACAGAGTTTGCTTGAATATGAAAGGCTTAATAACTGTCTGCTTTGCTCCTCAGACGTGTCATCTTGTCAGGATTACATTAAACGTTGAAAACTGCAGAAAACTTCAAAGATTCTTCTGAGGCCAGTGCTCTCTGTCTTTACCCGTTAGCAAGTGAAAAATGGGTCTCCCAAATTGCAGCAAGAAGGCCAGATACAGCACAGCGATCTAAAGTCAGACACAGGCCCCAACCTGCCGTGCTCCGTCTCAGTGGGGGGGCCTTACACTTCATCTCCGTGGGCTGTGCTTGGTGATTGCAATGAATTCCTTCTGTGAAAGCTGCCATCTGTGGCAAGTCTGAGCATCCCCAAAGGAAGAGCTGGATTCAACCTGCATTGAAGCCAGTGGAAAGAATCCCATTGGCTTTGCTGCAGGCCCGGATGGATAATGCAGCGTAGCACTAGCTAATCAATGCATAAAACTTCAAGACTTAGAGGGCCTTTCTTCTCCAGAGCAGCTCAAAGAAAGGAAACTAAAGCCATCTACTCATGCCACATTTTCTCCCATGTTCCCCCTTCATTATAGCTGCTCCTGCTGTTGTACATGTCTGATAAATTTGGCAGGTCTCAGGCAAGCAAAAGAGGCCATTTTCGCCATATGCCAGATCCACTGAAGTGACAAATAGTCCCATAACTGAGCACAGACCTGCACAGGGTGTCACTTCAACCTCAGTAATTCAGAGTTCTGTCCTGCCGTCCTTATCTAAAAGATCCTGCTGCCTTGTGACACCGTGGTCCAAAAATGTACAGCAATAAGGATTGAATCAGCTAGTCCAAGTGGTAGGTTTTGGCTCTGAGCTCAAATAATGGTTGAGTTTACTTTAATTGCATTTCTTTTAATGCCGGCACATATTCCAGTGATTCCTCCCCCAAGAAAAACCAAATAGTTTGTTCAAAACAGTAGATTTAATTTATGTGACTCTAACTTACCGATATCATTTAATAAGTTAGAAGCATTTAAAATAGGCCAGTTCTAAATATCTATTGCTTTTATAACCATCTGCTCAGGACAGAAAAGTCTCCTTGGGGTACAGAGCACGCTTGTGAATTTTCAGTAGTTGAGACTGAATTTTCACCACTTCTTCTTTTCATTGCGTTCCATGCATCATCATGCCATTTGGAGTTCCTTATAGGTGAGGTGGATCGATCTTCGAACTCCATTTCTACTCTATACTCTGTGCATTATCTATCTTTGCTAAGAGATTTTAAAGATACTGTCTCTAGAGGGTTTGGTGGTTGACTTGATCTAAGAGGTCTATAAGGAGGCAGAAAAGAGGTACTTGGATGGAAGAACTGGACATCTGAGACGCTTGCATATTTTTAATCTACCTGATGCATAATCAATTAATAACTTCCCACTGTACAGTGCATACTTCCTCAGGGTCTCCCACTAGTTTTGGGATGCATCAATAAATGCAGTAGGTGCACAACATGGAAGGTGTGAGTGTCTCTATACTTGGCTCTGCTTAGGCCTCATCTAAATACTGTGTGTAGTTCTGGGCTCTGCATTTTAAAAAGGACGGGAAGAAGTCAGAGAGGGTCCAGAGTTGGGCAACAAAAATGGTCAAGGGCTTGGAAAGCAAGTCATACGAGGAGAGGCTGACAGAGCTGGGCATGTTCAGCTTCAGGAAAAGACACTTCAGAGGGAACATGACAGCGGTCTTCAAACACATGAAGGGTTGCCATAAAGAAAAGGGAAAGTACCTTTTCTCTCGTGCTGCAGAGAGGAGGATGCAGACCGACGGCTTGAAGTTGCAGCAAAGCAAGTTTAAATTGGAGATCCAGAAAAACCTCTTCACCGTGAGAGCAGCAAGGCAGTGGAATAGACACCTGGCAAAGCTGCGGACTCTCCATCACTGAAGAGGTTCAAGAAGAGGTTGGACAACTACTGGTCAGGGCTGATCTAGGCGTAGCGATGCCCATGTTCTGCTATGGATATTTCCCAGGCTTCTGGGCTTTGCAGGTTGCCTCTATACATGTCAGGGTGCTCTTAAGCCTCCCTCAGAGGCACTGGGTGTTGGCTGCAGCCAAGGCTCTGGATTTTGACCAGGGTGGGCTAATGCTCCTGATGGGAGCAAAGCCAGAGGTTCCTGGCTAGAGGGTCTTGCCCCTCTACTCAGGGTCAGACTGACTGCTATATTGGGGGCCAGGAAGGAGTT